AAGTTAAGCACTGGTAAAATTTGATTTGAAATGACTGCAATTTTTCTTAAGATAATTGAATATATTTTTTATTACTTTTGTTACCTAAAGATGTTATATATGCATATAGTAGTTGTCCATATTTATTTTTCATATTGTGTGACCCATTCCTTGCAATTTATGTTTTAATAATTAATTGTTATTTACTGAATTTATTTATCAAACCACACATTGATATTTTTTCATAACAATTTATATTCAGTGATTAGCAAGATCGTCTCCACTGGAGCATATTTTTTACTTTTAAATTTCTTATTTTTAATATTTTTCAATATTTGTTATTGTTATTGTATTTTTTTTTTTTGGGTCTAGGTAGTTGTTCTCTATTATCATTTCAGTTCTGATTCGTCAATTTTTTACTTTTCTTTCAGTTGTCTGAGAGAACTATTTCATAGTTAATTTTTCGTAGTTGTATCAATGGATTATCTTAAGAAATGATTACATGTTTTCTTAAAATAATTGAGCATATTTTGTTTATCACATTCTTGTTGCACTAAATTATATATGCATATAGTTGTCACTATTTGTTGTTCATATTGCATGTCTCGTTTTTCTTGTTGTTTATGATTTAATAAACAGTTGTTATTTACTGAGTTTGAATAACAAGTCATATTCAACCACTAGCATAATAAATAGTCTCCACTAAAGCAGACATTTTAATTTTATATTTCATGTTTTTTTTGTGTTTTTCAGTGTTTTCTTTAGTTATTGTATTTTCCTTTTTTTTAATACGGGTAGTCATTCTCTGTTGTCATTTCAATTTTGATCGTCAGTTTTTTACTTTTCTTTCAGTTGAGTGAACTATTAACTGTGGAATAAAATTTATCTTACCTTATTTATTAATGTTAATATTTGCATACAATCTTTTTTTGAGAATATAGAACAAGTTCAACTACCTTGCATTGTCGGAATGTATCGTCTTCCTAACCCGATGTGTGACACTATGAATGTCACCTACTTTGAAAACCAATCATATTATTTCAAATCTGACATTCATGAAGAAAGTTAGAGAGAATATAAATTTGAGGTTCCAATCAGAAACCTCAAACGTTCCTCTATATTCCTGATGAACTCAGTCTTCTTCTCACTATCATAAATCAATCTAAAAATAAACCTACTACTCCACAAAATCCTCCCACAACTCTCATCAAGAATCAAGAACAATATGTGTACACTTGAAAGAAAAAACTCAGTGAGCATGTAAGGAACAATATGCAAAATTAGGAATGCAAATCACCGGAACCAACTCCACACACCCCAAATATTCACAAGGAGGTTGGGTCAACACATTATGAGAATCAAGAGGAAGGAGCATAAGAATACACAAAACACTCGATAGAAGAATTTGTGATCTAGGAAAATTTATCCTCTTACAAATCTTTTGTTCAAAACATCGATAATGTGTGGATCCCAAATTCAATTGAAGAGACCTTATATATTCCTGCTTGAAAAAAGGTTATGGAAGAAGAGATTCTTGCCCTTAAAAAGAATGGTACATGGATCACAATAACTCTGCCACCTGAGAAAAGAACTGTACGGTGTAAATGGGTATCCAGTATTAAATATAAAGCAAATGAGAGCATAGAAAGGTTCGAGGCTAAACTTGTAACAAAGGGGGGTTCACTCAGCCTTATGGGATCGACCACCAAGAGACATTTGTTACTGTGGCGAAACTCAACACAGTGTAAAGCATGTATTTCACCCCTTCATACGCAATCATAGACACATTCAAAATGATTTCATAGTCAATAATCGTAATCATAGAAACATCACTTGTAATTGTAAAGGCTTTAATTATCTTTGTCCTTTCATATCATTGGATTGTCACCCTACCAAAGACTTCATTAATTATTGATAAAGGTCCTCACAACATAACAGTTATAACAGCCCCCCTAAAAACAACAGTAACCTACATTTTATGTATGTCTGAAACCAATAGTTTTCGAATGTTCTCTATTTGAATACCAGAAGTTGAGAAGCTCATTGTTTTCTACCATTCATACTTACAAGTATTCATGTAATAGTCCACCTAACACAACACTTATTAAATTCCTATAATCATAATTTTCATGATAAACAAACATAGTTAATTCAAAATCATATGCATAATCAACATAACATGAATACCTACAAACAAACATATCAAAACATGTTCATCACTTCTATATTATAGGAAAATCATAATCATTATCGGTGTTAATTCAATGCTGGCATACATATAACTTTCAAAGTTATTCAACAATATGCATGAAGTTTTAAATGCAATCATATATCAGTGAAATCATCTAGAAAATCCTATAAAAATTTATTACTCTTAATTTATACATGATTATTTTAGTTGATTTGGTGGAGCAACCCTATGATGACTTTCTCCATGCTCACCTCGAGCTCGCCACCTAATATAACAAACCTGAAATTTGTAAGCCTCTCAAGATTTCATGAAATTATTGATGTATATAGTGATTTAGCCCCAACATTACTCATTTATGAATCTATACCTAAAAAAGAGTTCTCGGCATAACTATCCATTCTCCGATACTTTCTATTCCTCTTCCCTCTTCTTCATTTGCCCTTAACCCTTTCCTGCAACTCGTGAAATGGACCTATAGGAGAGTGTAGCTCTCGTTTCAACAGTCTTATGGCTATTTCCGCAAATCTACAACAACAGAGAACACATGGAATGCCTTAATTCATAGCAAATATCAAAACAAAAACGTAGGGAAGAAAAAGAATGTCTGAAATGTCATGAAAGAAGGTTTCCTACCTTTAATTTTCTCCCTGAAACCCCAAATTGGAGATTGCGGCTCCCAACAAGTCTTCTGTTTTGCTCGATACCACCTGTGCTACAGGAACGAAGCCACAGGACTTGCGGAAAAAAGAAAGAGAAGAATAGGGAAATTTGTGAAGCTTCATATGCATAATTTACCCCCCCCCCCCCCCCCCCCCCCCAACCCCACCCATCTACCTCAAAC